ATGAACGCTCCGCCGTTGCAATCGCTAGATTGTATGGAATTCAATTAAAAATGCATATTTATTATCTGTATTTAAACGATTGGCGGGAAATCGAATTTTGATGATAATAACAAAGTGTAAGTATTTTCTTGATTAAAAAAACAGATGGTGGACAGCGAGAAAAGTATTTTTTTTTTGTTTTGCATGAATATATGACTAATAGCTGTTTCTCGCGACAACGTCCGCGTGAAATTAAAAGAATAATGAAAAGCATACCTCATGTTCCTCGCAGATAAATTACCTCTCTAATGATGAAATAATATTTAAAATCGACCCAGTAGTTTTTACGTGAATCAAATACATTCAAAACACACACATTTTTCCTCTTTATAATATTAGTATAGTTAAGGCGTTTGTACAGAAATAACGTGGACCTGGATGATCAGAGCATGTTATTGATCATGATCAATCATCACTAATCACTTCTTTACAGTGGAGATGAAATGCAATAGAAATAATTACAAATTAAAGGTTATATTAGTGTTAGGGCTGTTTGATTTAAATGAGATAGTTCGGTTTTATACAAGACGCGTACCAATGATATCGTTGGTCCGATATCTAGCATGTAATATCTCCAGTAAGGGTCGATTAAACAATTTCCACTCAGATTGAGTCCATCGGACCTTAGTCAAATATGAATATGATCTATGGAATTGTAGGCAAAAGAATTACGACACAAATTTAAATACATTAAAGGCTTTGTACACACAAGTTGTGGCAGCAAGGAGACGGCCTACTTATGCACACATTTTACGAGCGCATTGTTTCCGAGGAGAATTTTCGAAATGACCCGATAAGCTGTTTGCCAGGCAACGTCATCTTGATCTTTTTAAAAAAAGAACTAAAGACCTTGTCCAGGCTAAACTAAAAATCTAAACTTAAAAAACTCGTCCTGTCAAAAACTAAACTTGAAGTAAGTTGTCTTGGTAAACAGTTATGAATTGAATAGATTTATTTTACTATTTTCTGGCTTGACTTATCTTAGTGGTAAAAGCTCAAAACAAAAGATATTTGATTTCGTAATTCTGCCATCGATCATGACAGTTCAAATAAATGGGAGTGGCAGATCGCTCAAATTGATCGAACCGTTATTTCTTGATACATTTTGCATAAAAGCTTTTTATGTAGTTAATACATTTTATAGATTGCTATAGCTAAGTTTACTTATGTTTGAGGGAAAGATTTTATATGTAACTAGCTGATTACAACTTCGTGAGATAGATATTAGATAGAAGACAAATCATTCAATAATTAAAAAAAAGATAATATTGGCTATGATCATACGTACACAAGAAATTGGATTTCGAATAATTTAATTGGTATTGTTTAAAGCATTGAAAAAACACAAAGTTCGAATATAAATTAAAATTTGACAATATTTATTACTTTTCATTACAATACCCGTGACATTATTATTTTTTCTAATAAGACCACAGATTGTCAGAACAGTTTTTTGATGAGTTATGATTTTTATATGTACTCGTAAACATATTTATTGCTCTACAAATACATAAACTGCGTTACTACGTGTCGGTCAAGCAAATCTATGTAACGCCACGTATATCGCATGATTTACCTTTATTGTAACGTTCATTAAAATGTTAATAACTTGCATATTTTTTAAAAAAAATCTACTTAATAACTTAGTTTTGACTTCATAATTCAAAGTAGCCTTACTAAGGTTAATATTTAACATTAATTATGGATAACACTGCCCACTTGAATATAAAAAATTGAGGCACATACATAGCCCGTCGGCACTCACATGTCCCGCGATGATCTCGCCCAGCGTTCGCGTAGCTCAAAGGCTGTCAGACGACACGAGTCGGGGCGAACAAACTAACTAGCGAACACAGTTTGCTCATACCGCTCGGGTTATCTTCTCGCCAATATATCACCGATCTGTCAGCCGAAAGGGGGTGGGCTGGAGTTGTTTCGGTGATGGTACGCAGGTGCGCGCGCGCGCCCCGCCGCGGTGCAACTACCGATGTAAAACTATACTGTTTGTGCAAGTGTTTTCAGTAACTATTGTTAAGGACTTTTCTACTATTACTTCTGTAATGTCGCAGTTAAAGTGTGCGATCGGTATTTGTATAAATTTACTATATGATTTAGGATCTGATTTATTCATGAAATTATTAGATCAATGTTGAACCTTAGTTATCGTAGTCGTGTTTATGAAAAAAATAGAATTTCACATAAATATATTAATGCTAGTTTCTTAAAAAGGTTTACTTAGAGTCAGTCGTACAAACGTGGCAATAAAGCAATCAATTCTAATGAGTTACAGACGAACTGTCAATGTTTATTTTATACAGGGGATGGCTACATTTCATTCCAAACCGACTAGTCTGTTAGTTATTATTACATGATTTTTAGCTAGGCAACTAAACAGTTGAATGGGCTGCGAAACAATCGACAATCGTACAATAGTTGTGAGTTAGTCTAGTCAAAGGAGCGCCCGCTCTTACTACAAAAAACTCTTCCGAAATAACCTAATTCGTAAGGACACGAAAACTTTTTGTTTTACTCTAAGAATGCTGTATGGGTAAAAGTGGCATTATTCGAATTCGCATGAGAGGTGTAACATGGAGTCGCCAGCGGCGACCCACATCGGCGCAGCAGCGACCAGCTTTATCAATGTTGATAAACTTAACTGCCTCCGCCGGCGGATAACTTCGACGCCGTGAAATCGCTCCCCCCCGCCCCCACATGCCGCAACCACACGCGTAGGTAATCATTACGCGCCACCTATTTGTGTCGATGTGATTGCTTTTCGATATCGTATATTACCTGGCTTTTTAATTAAATTTCCAATCAGCGATCACGACTTTTAAACCAAAAAATTGACAAAGATGTTAACTAGCTTTGGCTTGTTTATAATTTTTACAATTTATGACTTCTGTATCATAAAGTGCTTACTTTGACTATTAATGTGTACTTTTGTAATATGTACTTTTATCTTTATGTATGTCTTTATTTAATCGAAGTTTAATTCTAAATGCAATATATAATAGCAATACAAGGTTGTTGCTATTCTTTATAACTATGGCTCAGATTTATTGAGCAGGCGTTGTTACATTGGTTTTAAATACCTCTGCAGGGTGAAACACTAAGCACGAAGGTTTCCGTGGCCATTGGCTGTCCTAGGGGAAGAAAAATAATTTTCTTTACATAGGCCAGTGCTGGTGTTCAGCTGCCAATTAGAGCCTCGGTCGTTTCGCATATTTAATAATATTTTAATGAAAATTGTTTAATGTTATTTAGTTAGTTATATTTTTTTGTTTTTCATAAGTAATTCTTATCTACGGGAACTCTCACGGCGGTCTTAACTCATTTCGTAAACAATAATTTAGCGCAGTATAATCTGTTTGAAAATAATATTGGCGCCAAATCGCTGTTTACTTTGTAAATGAAACGGTCTTGTTTCATAAATATACGATCGCAAATACAAATTATCAACAATTTATGTTACTTGGTCTACTTATTATTAGTAAACATAAGTTATCATGCATATTATGAGTTCGTTTATTTTATAATGTTTAGTTAAGATAAATTTAGGTAGAAAAAAAGATACGACGAGATAACTTTAAAAAAACTTTTAAAAAATACAGAGTTGTGAGGAACATTAAAAAATGTAACGCTATTTATGTTTATGAGGTTTTTGTTTGTTTATTACATCCACACAATTGTTTTATTCCCTTAAAACATTTATCAAAGGTCGAGCTGACCACAAGGGTTATCACTTTTGTACACCTCCACATAGAATTCTCATACGGTAACTCCGGATATGAAACTGAACTTAAGAAAATGTTTTATTTCATTTACTCGCATTATAACTCCATTACGTAGCTATGATAAGCGATAGTCTGTCCTTGTCCAACATATCCCAAGCTGTCAAGCTCGCAGCTCGTATTGCATTTGTGTGTTATATTTTGAAGTGACCGCTTTGAGTTACCAGATAATTAATTAAAAACCCCCAATTCATAAATATTATTTTAAAACGATTGAAATAATTAACAGTGCACAATTGTCCATTAATAGTATTAAAAAGGTTTGTTAAAATGTTGAATTAAGTCCTATTTGCAATATAAATACATTTTATGGTCATTAAATGGCGTATAATATTGTATCTTAACTGCGCATGTCTAGATTGTTATTTTGATTTAACTTATTTTAGGGTAATGATTTAAAAGTGGCAACACCAAGCGAGCATCAGTGGTGGTAAACTATTCACTTTTGTAGTGTAGTGTACCGAGTAGCGACTAGTGATGGGACTCGAGTGATTTTTTTTCACTCGAGTCACTCGGTACTCGTAACTTTCTCACTCGAATGCCACTCGAGTGAAGATAAGACTCGAGTGATGTTTATAGACGCGAGTCACTCGGAATATAAAAATCAAGGAACCAAAATTTTAAAACCAATAAAACAATGTTAATTTAACATAAAGAAATTATTTTCGCATTAACGTAAAAGTTACTCAAAAAATCTGTACAAAATGTGTAAAAACAGTGTTTTCCTTTAAACTAAACCTGTCTAAATAATCAAGAAACCTCTTATATCATCTATTAGTTGAAATTTTATAGTGTACTATAAATAAGTTCTAATCCATTTTAATAAATCCTTACAAGTAATTTTCATGAGATCCAAATATGGACAGTTTGATTATGTTCTTACACAATTTTCATAATAAAATTAACTTAAACGAAGCTTAAATAAACTATACAAAAGAACAGAAATAGCGTGTTTTTTTTTAAATCTTTTTTTTTTAGAAAATTTAACTGAAAATGCTGTAAAAATTTCTTACTCCGCTTAGTATAAACCAACAAAATGGTTACGAGTCACTCGTAATTCGAGTCAACTCGAGTCACTCGCAACTCGGGTTGTCAAAAATTTCACTCGAGTCCGAGTAAGAAAAAAATGACTCGAGTCACTCGAGTAAAAAGCAACTCGAGTCCCATCACTAGTAGCGACCGTGGTGTCTAAGGTTTTGCCAATTCGGTGCTGCTCCGAATATTATTGTTAGTGAACGCGCGGGTAAATGCCAAAATTGCTGTGAACATTGTAGTTTTTTGCGCTCGTCCGTGTTGTAGTGTTGTTGTTTTGTTGTGAAAGAGAAAAGTTGCCGTCGGCGTTGGCGATGGCGCGAGAATGCATTTATTAGATCGAAGACTTGGAAAGTTGCGATTGCATTTTTCAAGATGCGTTGCTTGTAATATATTAGAATTATTTATTGTGTTATTCAAGTGTTAGTTGCTGTGAGAAAATGAAATCCCGGCTTTGTTTCGTCGATGTAAGTAATTTATTACAACAAAAGTTAATGTTTGAGAATTTAAGTGTGTCATGTTTTCCTGGTATTTTATTTGTATTTTGGTTTGCTATTAGTCAGAATTACATTATTTCTTTTGGTTTCCTTTTAGCAAATACATGTTATATTTACGATGTAGGAAATTGTTCTTCTGTAGAAAGTTTTTTTTTGTCGCTCTTACCTTGGACAAAGACCTGGCGCCAACCCAGCTCGACTCATCGAAATAAATGTTACATTTGTAACGATAATAATTTATTGTTGCCATAGAGTATTTTTGTTTGTTTTTATTTTGGTTATCTTCAAAATTAAGAAAAGATTTATGTCATATTTTTATGTCATATTGCAACTTATAATACGATACACAAAAATACGTTTTCTTGTTTGATTAATTGAAGTAATATTTTTATTTTTTGTGACATGAAAAAACAACTGTAGTCCTAGGTATAATACTAAAACAATTCTTAAATACTTAGTTTCGCAACCGCCGCTTACAATCAGGATTATAATGGATTTTGCGTTTTATATTAAACGTCAAATAGGCTGGAATACAAAAAATACCACATGCTTCATCACAGGTATATTTTTTCTTTCTCAATAATTGTCTAAAATGTTGACTGTATTTGAAGCTGATTACCCTTTTATGTTGATATAGTCGTGAGATTACAAGAAGAGTTGTAACAACACTTAATTAACATGCAATCAGTGCTGACCGGCCAGTGTCGTCTCAACTGTACTGAATTGCATACAATCGTTAAGCTCGTAATTAAGTTATCAGATTAACTTTAACAACTGCCTGAACTCCGGACCTCCCAATTAAGACACTAATGTACATTACGTTTCAAGAATTTAACACGCACTGGCAACTGAAACATGTTTAAAAAAAGAATAAATACAAGCTGAAAATAAAAATTGAATTTAGAAATTTTTGTCTATGGTTTGGAGTTTTTTTTTAAGTTTTTTATGGATGAGGTGCACCACGCTCTATTTATTGAATTGCAATTTTCTATAAAGAATTTGTAATATTAGATGTCGGTGTTTAAAAGCTATGGAAATCCATAGAGTAGCCTGTGAATGTAATTATTTCGTTATAATCTCAGACCAGTCGTACATGTCCTCCAGCTATATTTAGTGTTGTGACGTCACGTGTAATATGACGCGGTACCAGAGATTTTTGATTAAACTATTAATGCCTCATTAAATATTGCAGTGCGATAAGCGACAGCACGCACTCTAGCGGTGTACGACAGTTAACATAACGGTGTTACCATAGGCTATAAAAACTAAATGAAGCGTGAATTTATTTACTTTCAATTGAAATTCCGATCTCTTATAACACCTAGATATGACCAAGGTATACTTTTAAAGTTAAACTAAGTCTAAATATATTAAAATCATCAAGATCTTTGTATAGTAAATAATGTTAAAAATATGGAAATACTAGTTTTCGTCTGCGACTCTGTTTGCGTGGGATTAAAATATAACAAAAGTGAGCAGTCTACGTGTTATTCCAGACTATCCTCTACATCTATACCAAATTTTATCAAAATCCGTTCAGCCGTTTAGGCTACAAACTCAAACAAACATCCTTCTATCTATCAAATTATAAAGGGCTTGTACTAAAACTACTTCCATCCATGCTATCTTAAAATAAAACGCATAAAATTGAACATAAGGTCTTGAACTTGATTATGGACTGGTGAAATTCTGTCCACTTCAAGGCAAACCAGTACCATCGGCTCAAAACCGACCGTAGGACCGACAAAAATAAATAATAAAATTCCTTATCGTGTTCTTTTTATCTTATTAAGTTGTACTTGTTCATAAGAAATATCGATGTTTTATTTACATATTTGTTGTTAATGAGGATTTATTTTATGTTCGAGTTAAACGTAAACAGGCGAAACGACATTCCATTACGGGCGTGATGGCTCGCACTACAGTATGTCGATGTAACGAAGTAGGCACGGATGAGTAACGGATCATTTCACGAAGTAGAGATAGCTACGGTAATATTTATATCAGCTGATACTAAGAAATACCTGTTTTTGGTATACAGAGACCAGTATATGTTGATTAAAAGATTTAACAAGACAAGTTTATTAAAGACCTTGAAAGACCTTGAATTAAGCATGTGTTATATCTAAAGATAACGGAAATGTGGAATATCTCATAATTATCTAAAACTATTAAATGTAATTTCTTTATTAAGTTTTTTTTGTCGTATGAAGGAAGATAAAAAAGTTATAAAGGTACTTTATGCTCCTAGAGTAAGTACCATCACTTCATGGTTGTTTCAACGTATATTATTGACGCAAAAACTGATTCTTTGCGTAATGCTTCTGTAAATTACGTACCTATAGTACCTGACATGTATTGTATAAGTACGTTTCCAACTTGAGGTAAATTTTACTTAGTAAACAGATGTGACTCACTTAAACTTGTTTACGCTTTGCAACTAATGTTTTAACATCCAACTTAATTGAAATCATTAATTTAATTTAACTTTAACTTATTAATAAGTTCTAAGTACAATTTAGATACGAAAAAGATTAAAATTATATAGTTACACTGGCCGATCAATTAAATATGTGGGTTATGTTCTAAACGTCTATCTCTATGGCTTCATAATTGATCCCCTGCGGCGCACACAACTAGATGTATTAACATTTTACGGCGGCAAGTAAAAATAATAATTCTTCATCTGGTGTGGCGGCGGGACAAAATCCGCCCCAATGCGTGGAAGGTCTTTCTAGACCCACCAGCAATAGGATAGTTTAAATTACTATAACTTTGTGGAAACATAATGTATACATTTTATGTAATTATACTATTATAATAAAGCGTAAACACACACTTCTTTGTTGCCTAAGATGTCTATTAACTAACTATTTTTTTAATAAAAGCCCTACACTTACGTCATGCTTTAGGCTATATATTTTCACGCCATTAAACTTAGGGTGTAAATATTTTGGATAAAAACTCTAATTTGAGAAAGAGATCATAAGTTGCTGCCAACATCAAGGAAGCAAGGTTGCTAAAGTTTATGATGTCATGTCAGTTTGACATTTGCAATTGATAATTTGACACATGTAAACAACGCAATAAAATTTTCATAATTTTATGCGAATGAAGTCGCACGGGAATAGCTAGTGTTATATATGTATACACGCACTAGCGAGAGGGATATAGTTTTCTTCGTCCGCACAAGCTTAAGTACTGCGTTACGCTGTTATCGTGTTGAAAGATGACACAAGCAACTTCAAATAATATTGCAATAACTGTGGTAAATCGTTGCCTAATTGTCTATGCACTTCGTAGCAAGCAGTTTTTTAAATAAAGGTTAATTCTTTGGAATAAGAGAAAGGTCAAAGTTAGTCGCGTGAATCTGAGCTGCTATTCAATTCCCCGGGCGGGTTAATGTTACGCCCCGGCCGCAGCGCGGCGCTCGCGTGCTGTCAATTGCTGGGTCACAGGTCACATCTTGTTGCGTTTTAATTGTTTTAGGACCCCTTGATTTAATTATGTTAAACAAATTATACTATAGAAATAACATATCTATTATAATGTGACGTTTAATTGTATTTATATTAAGATTGTAATATTGAAACTACAATGTTTTAAAAGACAATTCGTTATGCTTCATGTTGTTCATTATCCAGGTCAGGCAGGTACCTATGTTGTGATAGTTCCTGCAGAGGTTCCGCCTCAGAATGTTCAACAATGATTCGTCTTACAAGCTACACTTTCACTTTGCTGATACTTAAATTATTTCAATAGGAAATTCATTAGATACATTATATTTTCTTATAACGCTGTAACCGGTATCATTGGTGTGCAATGATTTGACAATTCAATCATACTAATATTATAAATGCGAAAGTTTAGATGGATGGAAGTTTGAGTTTGTAGCCTAAACGGTTGAACGGATTTCAATGAAATTTGGCATAGATATAGAGGATAGTCTGGAAGAACACATAGGAATTTGTTTTTTTTCCACGCGGACGGAGTGAACCATTATAAAGTAGCAGACAAGAGATAACTTGCTTTCCATATTTGACCTTATTGACGTAAGCACCAATCAATATGCACTTGGCATTTAATACATAAGTAAATTAATATTATCACAATCTGAGGGGAAAATTTTAATGTTTTCGAGGAATCCGATAATTGCAAATAAACCTTTGATCTATCAATATATCTTTTGCTTGGAGTAACTGATTAGCATTTAATAATATACATGTGGGGTTGTGGCTCGATGAAATAAAAATAAACTCGTTATCTATCGCTGTTTTTAATATTTACACCATTTTAAAAAAAACACATTTTGTTACATCGTCGTTCCTCTTTTTTCTCCGACTCTCAACTTAAAACTAATTTTAAACGAACGTCAAAATATAAAATTCGAAATCAATGGAAAAGAAAACATATTAAAAGGAAACATATTTAACCTCTTTATAACCTCATATAACCTTCTTATCCTACATACATAAATGCTTCCCTTAGTCTATGTAAATATGCTTTAGTTTTAAATTATAAATGTCTTATAGCTGCACTCAAAGTCATAAACAGTCCTTTAATGTAGATTTTCCATATTAAAACCACACTAAGGGTCTCATTATAACAATCAAGGGATTAGTGTGGCAGTAAATAAAGAGTACTTTGTCCTTCAAAACTTAGTACCCACACCTAGTCATAGTCGCAGCTTTTATTGATGCAATAAGTCGGAGCAATTCAGACGAGCAAATAAGGCAATAAAGTACCACAAACAACCTCCACCCACTGCTTTACGCAATACCCTACCCATAGTTTACGAGCCCTGCCCATTCGACTTTCCTCCGGTTTTAACTAATGTTTGTCTTTGGACAATTTGCCTTACCCAGTCATAGTCTTACCCATATATTCAACGAAATAAACACAGTAAGAGCGCACACCTGAAACTAAATTGTCGCACAACTGTTGTCTCGCTTTGATTACTATAAGCTTAT